TTTATTTAGCATCATGACATCTCCCATTATTTTCACCAGAGATAGGTATGTTATTTTCCCGCCCACCAAACCTCTGATGAAAATGAAATTTTGGCACATTCACTCCATAGAGCATCTGAAGAGAGAGTTGAAGCGATGGTTAGAGGGAGACATCGAAGCTGGGGAACAAATTAGAAGGATCCAGAGAAGAAGAACAACCACCTCACTTGTAACTGGAAGACCTCAATCTTGGTTGGAGGAAGTCAAAACAGACACAAACTTAATGGTGATGATGCACGGATCCGATGAAATTGTCTTGACGGTTGTAATTTCTTAGATATATTATCGTGTTGTTGATGTTATATTTACATGTTTTATTTGTTGTTGTTTTAGTCGTGATGTGTTTTTTTTGCTTATGGTTTGTTGTAACATACGCTTTTAATGAAAAAATATCTAATATTTAAAAAGTACAGATAGTTTGCATACATTATTTATGTTACCGAGCTAGTAGCATGAGTGGGATAATTTTTTCTATTGTGTATGACCTGACGTCATAAACAACACTTTATTTCTAAATTGTCAAGATCATCCATCTCAGTTGTGATACACTTGTTTTTGGGATTACCCTTTTTATTCATCCGCATTTGGTTGTTGTGCCAAACTATTTCCCCTTCGTACGCAAGCCAATAATCAGGTTTCGCTACCACTGGAAAGCCATTATTGTATACACTGAGCAAGGTATCGGACTTGTAAATGGGAGATAGAAGTAGTAATGCATCTTGATGAGTATGCTAACATTCCGCAATGACATGAGAGCAAGGCATACGAAAGGCTTGAAACTTTCCATAATCGCACCAACGAGATGGTAATATAACCTTATACTTTTGTCTTGGTATCCCCTCGTTGTGTTTGATTGTCTCTTTGACAATGAAGTTATGGTTATGTCGGTCGAACCGTGTAACAAGATGGGTGTTGGATTTGGCACCCTCTTCCTTGATAAATTTCAGGCAGCTTTCACTCCATAGTTGTCCTGATTGTAACACCGCGTACCACATCTCACCTCTTTTTGCAAACAACTCGGCCATCCTAAAATATGTTGATTTCACCAAAGCGGTTACTGGGAGGTTTCGTATGCCTTTGAATACATCGTTCATTGATTCAACAATATTTGTTGTCATGTGGCCCCATCGTTGTCCATTTTCGTATGACCTTGTCCATTTCTCCACTAGAATATTATTAATCCACCTACATGCATCCGGATTTGACAATCTGATCTCGTTGTGATAGTGTTTGAGCGAGGGTTGTGTTAATGCATACCCCACGTTCATTACTGTTTTTTAAGAGCCTTTCCTTTGATCTCCCTCGTGAAATTTTGAACGATGTGTCTAATGTAGTAGACATGCGTAGAAGGGGGGTCATGACAACCATTTGCAGGATTATTGTATGCACTCTCAATAGATGCATGTCTGTCGGAGATCAAACAAAGATCAGGTTGCGGAGCCACGCGTGTTTGGATATTCTTGAGAAAGAAACTCCAAGCCCCACCAATCTCCCCCTCAACTAGAGCAAAGGTAATTGGAAAAATGTTATTGTTGCCATCTTGTGCAACTGTTAGTAGCGTGCCTTTGTATTTCCCGTACAACCATATTCCATCTATCTGGATAATAAGTTTGCATGATGCAAACCCTATGATGCAAAGTTGAAAAGCCCAGAACATTTGACTGAATATTCCATTCCCGTTGAAATAAGTACTGTCTGGGGCATATGCCGGCAATGTTTCCATAATATAAATAGTTCCAGGGGAATACGTCTGAAGTGCGTGCATGTAGCGTGGTAGTTCTTTGTATGACTTCTCCCATTTTCCATATACCTTTTCAATAGCCTTTTTCTTTGCTAACCAAGATTTTCTGTATGACAGAGTATAATTGTATACCATAGTGATGTGAGAGATTATGGTTTTCACCTTCAATGACGGATCATTGCTGATAAGTGGTAGGATTTCCTGACATATTAGATCATAACTTAACTTACGATGATCTTGTGATTGAGTAGAATTAATGAACGTGTGGGTGGATATAGAACCTATCACCCAACAACCACTTCTCAACCTGTATGATGCAGTGAACCTGAACATACAATTTGTGTGAATATACTTTAGCTTGTACCTTTCAGGATTTACCCAATCAACCTTAAAGTCGACAGAGTTTACCATGTGAAACTTTTTTATAGCTTGCATGCAATCTTCTCTTGAGCGAAATTTGTCGTTATCTTTTATATTTTCATCTGACTGTATATACGGGTTAGAAAAAAAATCAGATGACGATTCATCTTCGTCCATGTTGAAGTTTGTCATGTGTGTGGGTGGTGTGTATATTTCATTTGGAGGTATTTGAGGTGCCGCATCGTCTTCGGAATCATCGTTAACCATGTTGTCAAACGCTAACTCTTCATCTTCCTCTTCTTCATCAATGACATCTACTTCTGCTTGTTCGTCTTTAAGAAGATCAACCACTTGTAATTGAGTTTGTTGGGACCGCTGAGGCTTTTGTAGAACAATGTACAACTCAATCGAGTCGCATCCAGAATACTCATGTCTAGAAAACATATTTTGAAAGTCCTCGTCTCCTTGAACCTCTACCTTATAAAAAATTACTTGGTTCTCACCAAAAAAATGGATTTTGGTATAATATGTGTGACACTTGACCTCGTCCAAGTTTGATCTCTAGTTGTTTTTTGAAATACAAGAAATTGACTTTTCTGTTTAAACAAAAACGGATGTTATCTGTGTTTCTAAATAAAAACCAGAAGTAGGACAATTGTACGTCTCACCGTTGAAATGTGCACTGATAACATATTATGGTGCAGAGGACATTATGTTTGAGTATTTGAGTGTTTGAGTGTAGGAGACTAAATAAGATTCATATGACTTGAATAAGAAAAAAATGCTCAGCCTACCAGGCGCCATCTGGGATGGCGCATCCTCCTTATTTTGTTCATATGCGTGAACTGGGATGGTGCATCCCTACTAGCCCTGTCAACAAGCTTGCATGCGTATCAGACTGTCCTTATGCTACCATCCTACACTGGCCATACCTTACCACCTACTCTACAAGTAGGCCTGTCACACGCCAGTTTGAATGGTGCATACATTCAATATTGCATGTTGTCTCCAACTTAGATGGCGCATTTGTGACATGTAAAATGCATGCATGCAACCTCCAACCACCTCATTAACTCACATCTATACGAATTCGCCTATAAATATGGCACCTCAGACACATGTTTTGCATCACCAATCCACACACTCTCTGATACTTGTTTTACACTATCTTATACAATTTTAAATATGGTTCTCCCAACAATGGGCGACTCTCATATAGGCACAAAAGTAAATATTGAGGTGTTTGTAAGTTTTTATATTATTTTATATTATTTATACTTTTTATTAAATTATTAATTCATTCATTTTATAAACTCTAACACTATTTAAATTTTGAATTTAGGATCCTAAAAGATTTAGAATTCTCTCACACCACTATATTGAGCCGGACCTGTTAATCATTCCATGTCTAGAATATGCTGGTTTTGGAAATGTAATAAAAATATCAAACTGCATGATTGATTCAAAATTTATACTTACACTATTAGAAAGATGGAGATCTGAGACACACACATTTCATCTACCAATAGGTGAATGTACCATCACTCTAGAGGATGTGTACATGTTATTGGGTCTCTCTATCGAAGGTAAGGCCGTGAATGGGTCAGTTCAATAACCCAATTATCTATGTGACAGAACAATAATTTTACTAAATTATTTTAATTAATTATTGATGTATTTAAATTAACAATAACGTAAGTGAGAAAATAATAAATTAAGATTATTTATTTAAAAATACAATTAAAATATTAAATGTAAAACTACATGATTTAAAGTGATAAATATTTTAAAAGAAATTTTTTATTTAAATGTAATATTTATTTTAGAAGAGAACTCAATTAAGTCCGCCTTCTGTCCTCCACTACCAAAAGACGTGGAGACCTGTTTCTCTCGTCAGCTTCTTACTTAAGGTTACCTTCACATCACTTCCTTGAACTCACTTAAGGAAATCCTGAGCTCCAACACTAAAAAATAGTAGCTACACAACAACAAGACAATAGGGTCTACAGACCCCCACGGCTATGAATAAAGCACAACTCTTTCCTCACATCTACCTAACCAATTTCGATTGAGCGCGTGAAAATGCAAGATGGAGGCCTTTCAGAATGAAAGGAAGATCATCCCTGGGAAAAGAGATCGGCAATTTGCTCAGGCGGTTAGTTAGTTGTAATTGAGTAGGCAGTTCTTCTCTTTGCCTTTCAGCTGGCTAGTCCGCTTATCCCTCTGTGAGCGGAGATGGTTATACAGGAAGTGTTGTGACTCTGGTGGAAGACTGGAAAGATCCTTGTTTGGATTTGGTAGACTCTTAGTTTGAGACGATCTTTCCGGTTTAAGAATTTATTCTGGAATTCGGTCACTCGGGTAAGAACTTATATTATTAAAAATAAATCTACTAATAACCTTACATCTCTCAAAAACTATTTGATGTGAGACCAATGCTTAATTTGTTGAAATATTAAATTGTTTACTTTTTAAAGAGTATTTTCTATTTTCTTTAATAAAATTTCTGCTAATAATTTTATTTGTTAAAAAAAAAAAGTTGAATTGCATATTAGCGTGCATTTTTTTAAAGCAATAAAACACAAAAGAACTATTTTAATCATTTTTAGAATACATCATTAAACTATTATTTTCTTTATCACAATATTTTAAAAAGAATACATATTGTAAAAAAAAAAAAAGAGAGAGAGAAAATAGAATATGCATGAAAAGCATCAATTAGTTTTACACCTTCTAAGAAATAATTATTATGTATCCCAATAAATAAAATTAAGATTTTGAAATTAATTGTATAATATAGCAAAATGTGCAAATAATCAGTTTATTAAAATCAAAAGAATAAAATACAAGGAATTTGAATTCAAAACGCAGAAGTGAGATATTTGACAAACACGCCTAAAGCAGCATACTCCTGAAACGCCATGACATCAAGCCGACACCGTATAAACTCCGGCAGAAACAACCAAAAACAGGTAGCAAAAACAAATCCAACGGTCAAAGTTCCACACACTAACCTCGGTAACCGCCACCTGTCAGTCAGTACCTTCTTCAACGCAATCTCCACCGTCAAACACAGTCCATGAAGAACAAAAAAACCAAACATCCTAAACGTTGGTTCCAATCTCCCCATGTAAAACAGTATAAGCTCATGCATCAAACCGGACACCACAAATGTTCCAAACACCGCTGGTAGTGGGGCCCACTTTGAACCAACAACGATCTTCGCTGCTTTCAGCGTTGGTTCGTACACTGTCGGTCGTAGGATGCTTGTGACCATTAGGTTCCACCTCTTTCCCCAGAAATCTTGAAGTGAGGTTGAGATTATTGGATTATTAAATTGCGGTTCCACTTCCAACCCCAAAATGTTTCTAGCAGATGCTGCAACAATTGCTAAGATTATTTCTAATAAAAAGTAGATGTGGAAACAGTACATACCCAAGATAATCTTTGGATGAATATGGTCACTGTAATCATAAAGTTTAACCAAAACGCCCAATAGAAGAAACTTGATAGCATAATGAAGAAATATAAGATTAGAACGTTTTGATGCATTAGATAGATCTGAAATTGGAGTTTGACAAATTCGATCACGAGGTTTTTTGGGGCTATTTTGTTGGATCTTGATGGGAAGACACGCAAGAGCTACAAAACGTGGAAGAGAGATTGATGGATCAGAGGATAAAGGACCTTTGTTGAAAGCAAATAGTAAGAGTTTGAAGTTTGCAAGCCAGGCCAAGAAAAATCCTAAGTTACCACTTAAGTGTACGGAGGTAAAGTTAAGAGGAATGAAGAGATTGAGACAAATGACGGGAACAAGACAGAAAAGTCTAGTTGTTCCTGGTGTAACAAATGAGCGAATCCAATAACAATAGGTTAAGGATGTGAAAACTAAGGGATACACCTTCATCAGATTCAACATGTTACTTTCCATGTTTGTTAGAGCAATGCTAAAGAGATAATGGAGGAGCAATGCTAAAGAGATAATGGAGGTTTTGGACAACTAGGATACAATTTACGGATGCTTATTTCGAGGTGAATTTTTTTTTTGATTAAATATGTTTTTTTCCCTTAAATTACCTAATTTTATTTATTGTTTTTATAAAAAAATATTACATGTTTTGGTATTTATGAAATAATTATGCATGTAGTTTTAGTTCTACCTGTTAAATTAATATATATTTTTTAATGATTATTTTGAAGACGTGCTTAAAACGTTATTGTAACGGTGAAAATCAAAGATCAAACTATTAATTAACTTGACTCGCAAATAAGCAAGAGTTACCACCGCACTTTATTATTTCCAAGAGAAAAAGAAAAAGTACGAAATAAAACTCATATATATATATATATATATATATATATATATATATATATATATATATATATATATATATATATATATATATATATATATATATATATATATATATATATATATATATATATATATATATATATATATATATATATATATATAAAGTAAGTGCAATACTAAAAGTAAAGAAAAATACAATGTATTTGAAAGAGATCGAAAGTTCGGGAGTTGGTTATACAAATGGAATGTACTAGGACCATATGTATCTATAGTATCTTATGGGAACCTTTTGAAATATATGTTTTTGGTTAAAATTGGTTTGCTTGTTAAATGAGTGTCAGGATGAAATTTTGAAAATGCAACGACCTAGTGTCGAAGTTTTTGACTTAAAAGATGTGCAAGTTTTTTAAAATTAGGATTTAGAAGAGATTTGGTTTTAGATTAATAAAACTAAAAAAATGTACAAAGGGTTTTCGCACAATCGTATTAAATATATTTGATGACATAAAGTCAATGAATTCGATTTTTCCTTTGGAGTTAGACAAACAAAATATAAAAGACTAAATGATCGACAAAGGGAAATTAAATAAATAACAATTAAATAACTAAATAATTAACAACCAAAAATTAAATTAAATAAAGAAAGACAAAATTACACTAATATATATTTTTTTTTGGTATTTTTTAAAGAGGACATGCAAGCAATAATTATAATTGTAATCTAATAATTTTTTTATATTTTTTGTATAGATATTTAAATGAAAATAAGACAAAAGACTTAAAAATTAGAAATAAAAAATAAAGTGAGCAAAGAGAAGATAAATGCTCAAGTGAGCAAAGAAAAAATGCATAAAGTAAAGAAAATAAAACGTTATGGATGATAAATGACATAAAAGTAAAGAGAAGAAAATATAAAGTGCGGAAATATAAATGATATTAAAGTAAAATTAGTACAATATAAAGTTAATAATCTGATTTGGGATAAGTGAAAATTTCATACAGATCATAAGATGTATGTACCCATATATATTAGAGAAATGACACTTTGCAGTTCATTCTCTTATACAATTAACAAACATGGGGATCAAGACAAAGTCAAAGAAGATACATTATGACAAACTTATCATCAATCTCAAGTACTTTGAATGATCAAAGAACCATTTAGAGATAGATTAAAAATGATGAAAGTTCATCAAATATCCGATAAACTTAGATGAACTAAAAAAACTCAAATGCTTTCCAAATTGATCCAAATAAAAATAAAAATAAAATAGATAAAAAAGAATAAGATGAAGTCTATAATAAAAATAGTATAAATGTCATAACTTTCTCAATTTTTCATGAAATTAAACAAATGAATAATGAAAGTTTATCTACTCAATCTCACGACCAATAATCCATGCTCAAAATAAGTAAATAAACAACAAAAAATTACAGAAAAAAATGAAAATTAAACAACATTAAATCACTTTTGCTTTTGGAGGTTCAAGAACACTTTTCAACTCTTGATTTTGAATCAATTGAGTTTCCTTTCAAAATAGTGATAATATGGTACTAAATAAATAAATAAAGAGTAAAAATATCATAGAACTAAATAAAGAACAAGTATAATAGCCTACCTATTCAATAAAAAGAAGAAATGACTTGAAAAAAATGAAGAGAAAAAAAAAAGTTTTGCCTTAATTTAGTGAATGATTTATGGTATTGTTTCTTCAAATGAAAGAAATAAATGTCTTATTTATAAGGTGAATGAGGTTGAAGTGTTGATGCGGCAATCCATGTGACTTTATGAGAATGGTTTTTGACCATTGATAAGTCTAAGTTGGCAATCCATGTGAATTGTGATAATAATTTTTAGCCATTGATAAGTACAAGTTGACAATTTATGTGAAGTGTTGGTACTACATTATAGTGGTCCCAATTTTTCTTTATTGACACAAAAAAACAAAAGTATAAAGTAATAATAATAATAATAATAATAACTAAAAGTGTTAGTAATAATAATAAATACAAAATAGAAAATAAAAGAGATATTAAATTAACTATTTATAATTTTTTTTTCTTGAATTAAAATAAATGAAAATATAAGTGTAAATTAAAAGATAAAAATAAAATATATATAAGAAAGTAAAATGACTTATATAAATTTTTCTAAAATTTTTTTGAAATAAATGATACCAATATATCAATTTAAATTAATAAAAGAACATATTTTTGATAATTTTTTAGTAAAGAGGTAAAAATAGTAAATAAAAAAATAACATGATGCTAAGTATATTTTTTTGTAATTTTTTTAAATGGAAAAGAAATTATGAATAAAACACAATAAAAATCAAATTCCACTAAATTCATAAACGACTTCTAACATTTCTATTTTTCGTGGCTTTTCAAAGCATAATCAACTCTTGACTTGTAAAGAGAAATTTTAGATGATGTCAATGAGAATCATATGTAAAAAGAACCGCTAAAAAATGTCGAAATTTGAAAAAGTTATAAATTTTTTAAATCTAACTCAAGAATTTGCAAAAAAATAGGTCAAATCACTCGTGAACACTTGTTATATGATGCAAATGGAGGGTGGGACTTAAAGTCAAAAATTGGGGTATGACAGTTGCCCCTATTTAATTTTCTTTTATTCATAGATATGAAGATTGAAATCTTCGTTTCGACGAGATTGAAGATACTTAAATATATAATACACAATTTTTGGTCCTAAGATGCCACAATGATGTTTATGATATGATATGGATGCAATGCTTTGAATTTTATAGGGAATGACGCCACATGAGACAAACTACCGCTGGAAAAACCAAACACATGATAAAGTAATCCCACATGGAAAGAGATTATAACTCCACTAGGGAACAGAGCCACAAACTTCGATTGAAAGACTTATTGGGGAACAACTTGGAGAGAAGAAAAAATTACTGACTCTACCAGGAAAGATGCCTTGCATAGGGTGTGAAAAGATAAATGGCTACTGACTCAAGATGATGGTAAATTTCCAACTCAGTGTCAAAGGTAGAAAAATAAAAAAGGATACTGACTCACGGATAACGATAAATTACCAACTCAATAGTTGAAGGTAGAAGATCAATAAGATATCAGCTCATAGATGATGGTAAACTACCAACTCAATAGTTGAAGGTAGAAGATTGATAAGATACCGACTCATAGATGACGGTAAACTACCAACTCAATAGTTGAAGGTAGAAGATCAAACAAGATACTAACTCACTGTTGCACCCCAAAATTTTCCCTCTTGATTTAGGCTTATGTTTCATCATAAACATCATATTGCATTGCATTCATACATTGTGATAGGATCAAAGTATTTCGGTTATCAAGTCTTCCTCAATCTTTGGAAGATTGATTGTATTGACAAGTTGCTCAAGGAGAGTCTTATTATCTAAACCCCTGGATCTTTCAAGCCCAAAGGTATCACATATCTCAAGATATCTTATCCACCTCTTTGGATCATCAGAAGATTGAGTATTGTGTTGTTTATAAGGAGAATCACATCCTTTGGACTCATCAGTCAAAATTAGGGTTTTGCCCAAATTGGAGTAATTGGGATCTAGATGAGCCAAGTATTGAAGCATCATTCTTTTATCATCATTGGAATCAATTTTGTTCAAGAACACCCCAAAATTTACCCTCTTGATTTAGGCTTATGTTTCATCATAAACATCATATTGCATTGCATTCATACATTGTGATGGGATCAAAGTATTTCGGTTATCAAGTCTTCCTCAAGCTTTGGAAGATTGATTGTATGGTCAAATTGCTCAAGGAGGGCCTTATTATCTAAACCTCTGGATTTTTCAAGCCCAAAGGTATCACATATCTCAAGATATCTTATCCACCTCTTTGGATCATCAGAAGATTGAGTATTATGTTGTTTATAAGGAGAATCACATCCTTTGGATTCATCAGACAAAATTAGGGTTTTGCCCAAATTGGAGTAATTAAGGTCTAGATGAGCTAAGTATTGAAGCATCATTCTTTTATCATCATTGGAATCAATTTTTTTCAAGAAGCCTCTCTTGATGCCCAGTGGAACTAGTGTTTTGAAGCTTGAGTAGCCATCTCCTAATGCAGAGTGCAAAACTAAGGTTTGAGTTTTAATCAGGGATTCTTTGGAATTTTGAGTAGAAACTCTTTCCATAGCCTCTATGTATTTGGGATATCATATGGTTGAAGTTTTGTTCATCAATTTTGAAGAGAAGTGGTTCAATTGAATCAAAGGGGCAAAACAGTCATTTTACTCAAAAGTCAACAAAGTCAAAGTTGACCAAATGAATTTTTGGTCAACGTGAAGCATTTGAAATATATTTTCATGTGGGATAATCATTGCGTCCACAAACAAACGGCCAAGCTAAAACAGTTAATCGAGTGATATAAGAGGCTAGAAACAAAGGTTGGAAGAAGCCAAAGGCAATTGGGGTGATGAACTACTACATGTCTTGTGGGCTTATCGTACTATGCCATATTCTATCACTGGAGAAACCCCTTTTTGTTTAACGTATGGCATATAAGTTATCCCGGTAGAAATCGAAGAGTTGAGCTGGAGAACAACAAATCCATTTCCACCAGAAAGCAACTAAAAAGTTATCAGAGAGGAAATCGACCTTTTGGAAGAAAAGATAATGGTAGTTTCCTTCACCAGCGGTGTCATTATTGTTGCGTCTGACCCCGAGGATTCCACATCAGGGAATGTGGTGCTTCAGAGGGCAGACATCGGAAAGAAAAATGCCTAAGATGGAAAAATAGCTGCTAATTACAAAGGCCCCTACCACATGCAAGCTAGCACTGGGAGAGGGGCGTACCTCTTAGAGTTCCTCGAAGGAGAGCAGATACCATGGACATGGAATGTCGCTAAGTTGAAGCCGTATTATAGTTAATGATTTATTTTTATTCCATTTCTATGTAACTAATTGAATCTGTTATGAATACAATTATTTTCCTGTTATTATACCCTTATTGCGATCTTTTCTGTCTCTCATCTCACAGGACAATAAAACAGAAATTACTTGCATTCTTGTGTATCTGATATTGACTAAATGCATTATTCCTTTTTAGATATGGCTTAAAACTCACTACACACATCGATGTGTAGCTGGAGCACCCCCTTCTTCGGATCTAGCAATCCATTGGTGTTAGACGATGGGCCCAGAGACGTCTACCTCGACCTGAGTTATGCCTCTGAAGCAAGGACGTGGATCCTACCCTTGGTCGGCGAACAATCCTTTATGACGCGAAGCACGACCCAAAGTTACGACCACATCCCGAATGATCTGAGCCCCAATATTGGGCAAAGCGGCATCCAAAAATGTTAAATACAAAGTACTGATACAATAAGCCAATTACAAAAAAATGAACGAAGAAAATGTTAAATACAGTAAGTCATTTGATATATTCAAATTATAGGTTACATAAGGATTATGTTGTGGATTATGTTAAAGAGAATGAATCGCAAAAAGCCTGAAGGCCAGGAACTATAGACTCAGTTGTTCTAGAATATTATTAAAGGCATCTTATTTCACGTCATCATCATAAATATCCTGCAGTTGGTTACTCAAGGTGACATTTTCTTCTTTGAGGGCCTTTAGATCCTTAGCTTGGCTAACTTTCATCTCCTCAAGTTCCGATATGAGGCTCTAAATATCAGGAGACAAAAGTTCTGACTTAAGTTCCTTCTGTAGGATACCCTAGTCATACTCTTCAAACAACTTCTCAAGTTTTGTTATGCGGTCAGCCAAGGCAATAAGGGATCCAGATTATTTCACTTCATCTAGAAAAGAAGAAATTTTTCTCAAGCGAGTACGCAACACAGAACATTCCCTCTCGAAGCTAACCACTTTTACCTCAGCCAAGTCATAGCAAACCTTCTAATCCTCGATCTCTCGAGAAGAGGAGCAGGATAACAAAAGATTCGTATAACTGGTTGTAAGTTGATTCAGAAAGGGAACAACCCGGAGGACTTGGTAAGTTGATTCTGCCAACCAATTGGATTTTCCAACAAGGGAGAGATGGAGAATATGTTCATATTTATCAACCGATACACACTTCTTCATCTCTGTTGCAGTTAGAGGTCAACAACCAACCATGATGGAGGGCAAGGGAGTTAGAGTATCCCTCAAATGGATATCCGGAGCAGAACCAAACTATTTCCACTTCTTCTTTGCAGGACTTCCTCAGATAACTGCTTTACCCTGGTCCTTATTAGCATGACGATCATTGTTCTGCTTACTCGGACTCTCTGAAGACGTTGACGCGACTAAAGGAGCCCTGACATTCAGCGTCAGAGCAACGCAACCAGCAAGTTGGTCCTTCTTTTTTAGGTCGTTTATAAAAAGAATGTAACTAACCGATAAGAGAATATGTGAGGGTGTTCACAGTAAGTAAAAGAAGGGATTGAGCTATACCAAAAAGTTTCTTCATTTCATCTGCAGACTTTGCCTCAACTATGTCATGGCAATGTATTTCTAAGCCAGAAAAAGAAAGCAATGTTTCCTTCATAGCCTTTCTGCATCGGTGAGGGCTTCATACAGGATAAATAATCTTTAACTTTATGGGAGAAGTGATCTAAGGACCAAAACCGCGACCTCCGTTTAGAACAGACTATTGGGGTTGAAGAAGGAGAAGAAATTGTGCATAAATGATTATGAGCAAGAGGAGAAAGGGGGGAATCAAGAAATAATGCTCCTTAAAATTCTTCCAATTGTCAATGTAATCATGGAAGACCTATTTTCTCAATTGTCGAAGAGAAACAAGCACCCAATAAGGATGAAGTCATGATGGAGGAATGCAAAGATGATTCAACTCCCTCTTTTTAAAAGCAGTAAGTGGAAGTCGTACTCCTAATTTCTTGAAGATGCAAGAATAAAAAGTGATAAAGTACCCTTTGAATTTACGGCACACCCTCTTATCTGCAGGGATCGTCAAAACTTTTCAATCCAAAAGAGAACCCACTTCAAAAGGAACCTTTATCTTGTCGTCCCTCTGAGTATAATTTGGGGAAATCCCCAAATAATGTAGGTCTACAAAAATAATAATTTTTAGTGTTTGTCGTTGTCATATCGATTGTATTTCACCTCTGCATACAGACAGATCGGGTAGGTTAGTGGCGACGGGTCGACAATAGAGGATTGACCCTCTAAAATGATAAAAAAGAGAAATAAGTTTCACTCACTTGAATAAAGATGCAACAACATACTTGAATAAAGAGAAAGAAAAATCATGATGGAAACTTGAAGCTAGAACTAAGAAGACCAATTCAATGATTCAGAAAAGCAACTACCAAGGAGCATTAATAAGAGCAAAATGAAGGTCCAAGGGAAAACCCATTCTTTATACAAAAATAAATTAAATATTAACGGTCTAGATTAAAAAGTAAAATATCAACCCAAAGACAATCGTCACGCTGCTCTACTATGCAAAAATTGAAGTAACAAAAGTACTCAAGTATCCTAGATGAGGAAATTATTCCCTAGCCTATGTCATTGGGCTGGCGTGTTGGGAACATGTATCGAAACGTTCTTAAGACAAGAAAAGCATTTAATGCTCTTGTCCTCCACTACTTTTCAACTGATTCCAAAGTGTTTCAGTTCCACATCACATTGGACCCCATCTTAGAGGTTGACCTATATTATTTAAGGCTTTCTTTAGCTCCTTCAATGCCAAACAAAGCCTTAGGGGGAAATTGTTCTAGATCGGCAAAAGAGATCTGAGCCATCGTTCAAGATCATCGGTTCTCCAACTGCATTCATTTCTGGTTCCCGAACAGAACATATTATAAGTATGATTAGGAAACTTAGTGTTTAGCAAAATGGAGTTCATATCGATTGGGATTGTCAGTGTCATTTAATTGTCAAATAATCAGGTGTGTCACGTAAGAACCTAACATATTGATGTGAAGTTTCACAATATGAGAGAGTTACTTGTATCAGAATATATATTGGAAATAATCATACTTCAAACAAGGCAACTAATATATTGACCAAGTTAATCACAACTGACAATGATGTGATGACTTCTTGAATTTTTATACTCTTTACAATGATATTGCACAAACAATTTTTTCTATAAAAAGGAGAAGCATCCTTCATACTCAAGGGTCTCAGGTTTTCAAATATACATAAATATTTTATTAAAACAATCAATAATTGAGTATAGTACAGTTGGTATTAAATATTTGGCCATTGTTTTGCCATTTGAATATATTACAGTTATTAAATTAAGACACTTACATCGGGTCAGAGTGGATCCAAATGCCAATTAATTTCTAAGTCTGAGCAGTCAAGTGAGGTTTTCACTCTATTTAAAGCTGCTTGTCTGTGTTGCAGCAGTGGGCGTGATGGATCTTCGCTTTGCTTGGTGGGTTCGTCATTTTGATTTTTGCGTGGAAGTCTCCTTGTCAAAGCTTTCCACTTTGATTCAAATATACAAGCTACAACAGCAAAGGAAAGCACAAGAAAAATATCAGCTTGCATTTCTGAAATCCTTAGTAGACCAAATATTAAAAATATATGACACTCACAAACCGGCAAAAAGAATAGCCTATTTAGTTCAGTAAAGATAAATGGATTATAATACAAGCAATTCAGGGTATTGCAAAAGTAAGGCCTGTTTACAATGTCACAATTGCACATAAGACTTCTAAATTACCAATCATAATTAATTTATTCAAAGGGGCTGTCAAATAGTCAACCTCGAGGTAAAGATGCTTAATATAATGCTAAACACCTATAACACTCTGGAGCACCCATCACAGAACAATATCGAAGTGGACTTTCATTATATCAAGAGCAATGGGAAATATTCTTTAAATAAAAGACAAGCAAACGCCACAAGAACATAACATTTTACTTTTCCACATAAGTTAGATTACAATCTATAAAGTAGTCAAAATAATATATACCTTCACTTCGGTCTGCAAAGCCACAAACAATACATGCACAAATCCATGGCCTTCCAGCACGGGAAGCTTTCGCACCGCCTTTAAGTTCACCATTATGCTGTCTTAAACTGCAACAATAAAGATGAGTACAAATCAAACACCTATCCCTTTACCTCCAAGGAAAATGGTATACATAAGCAGCATTTCAATTACCGGCGAGGGAAATTGGTTGTGACGCCAACGTAAGTTTTGATTGGGAGGTTGGTGGAGAGAATGAGATAAACACACCATGAGTCTGATTTTGGTTTGGCGTTGATTTTGGATTCTGATTTTGTAGGGGATGATGATTTGGATGATTTAGGGTTTGGAATTGGGCGTTTAACGGACCGAAATGTCTGAGACAGCGTTCTCATCATCAAACAAACTTTACCGTTGGAGCGGTTCTTTTTCTCCCCGACCAGTTCTGTTGAAAACAACAATCCTCAAAAAACAGTTTTGTTTAAGAATAGTTATTTATGTATTGATTTTTTATTCCGTAGAATAATAGTAACAATTTCTCAACGGACATCCCAATAAATTTACAGATTTTATATAAATTTGGTAAAACTCATAAATTTTAACAAGATAGTTATATATTAATGGAATGATAACAACATTTATTGTAGATCATTTATAAATTTATTAGTTATTTCACATTTTAGGGTGTGTTTGTGAAAGAAAATAATTATTCATTTGTTTGGTAGATGAGAAAGAATAAAAACGTTTTGGAATAAATAATATTAAATAATATTATTTTAATATGAGTCACTCATGAAATTTTTAATATTTATACTCATGTCAAAATATTTCTTACGAATAAAATAATCAACTATAACTACATATTTTCATATTATTTCAAATCATTATTTTATATTTTAAAATTTTAAAATGATAAATAAAATAAAATTCAAAAATATTTTTAGAAACCTTAATTATTTACCAAACAAATTGATGGGAATAAAACTCCTGACATTAACATTCATAGGAATAACATTATTGAGATTATAACTTTAATTTGTCAAACAAATGCACCCCTAAAAGATGAGAAAATCTTCAACCATGAGAGAAACCCTTCATTGTTCATCGGCCTCAACCATGATTCTCTTTGTGGAATTTATTCTTTTCTAGATTTCTCTTTGTGGAATTTGTTCTTTTCTAGATTTATGGAACTGTTTTTTATTCCTAGGGCTTGTTTAGCCCCGAATCCCACTAAAGAGCCTACAAAACAAAACCAAAATTGATCCACTAAAATCTTTGCAGAAGCTTTAAATGGAGTTTGTGATATTCCATCGTCACAACTACCTCAATCAATCCTAAAGGGGGGTCGCATCTCAATCACAATACGATGAGTATTAAATAGGTCTAGAGTCGTGTAAGCATAACCTTCACGGAAGAATTATATGGCCAAAAGGAACAAAATTCTAAATGCATGGCCTTCGCTCCAAACTAGCAACTTTGTGGAAGGATTTGGGAAGGTGGGTGTGTCATCTCTTTGTGAAAGGGTTTCTTCGAATTCTCCTTCTCTTCCCTTGAAGATGTTAGAAGGGTTCGATGTTTAGGGGCGTGGAATCTCTCTTCAGATCTGCTCAAACTCTTCCCCAAGACAAGAGACTTTACTCTAAGCCTTCAACAAAACAACATTATTCAAGTATGGGTTCGTTTTTATGGGTTACCGCAAGAATATTAGTGTCCTAGGATTATTTTCGCCATAGCCAGTATCATAGGTACCCCAATTTGTTCTAATATTGCTTCAATCAAACCATTGATGGTGTTCCTGTGTAGAACAAATATCTGGCCAACTTCTCATAAAGCAACTATGGAGAGCCTACCGGAGTGATTTTATGAGATGATTAGAGGATTTGAGATATACGTCAGTATGCGTATTGTTCTAAGAGAAATGTCTTGGTTATCTCTCTGGCGGGAGCCCCTTTATATAATGAATACATTGGCTTCATCAAGAGCCTCAGTTAATGAGTGACTTTTGAGTTCCATAAATGTGTAACCACCACCGTCTCCATGAATGAAGATGATTAGTGTTGTATAATGTAGCAATGAATGTGCCGTCGGCGGTTACATGCTTTAATGAGCCGAGATGCTGATCGGTCACGGGCTCATGGGTTGTCTGATACTCCCTTAGTCAATTTGCACCCCGGGTGCCCCTGTAACACCCCATTTCTACCCAACGATTTATATCAAATCAGAGTTACAAAATTTCGACAAAAAAATGAAATGCAACACTTTCAACTTGGAAGCAGCGACATTCAATCACCTATAGTTCAGATACATAACACATAAAATTCGGATGAACCGATAACAACCTGTTTAATCTTTAAAAATAAAACAACTTTTATAATTAAGCAGCGGAATCACCATTTTCAAGTCAAATGACATAACGTCTTTGTCCAACTGAAACCAACTTCAAATCAATAAGTACTTAACGAAAATAGCTTAAAATTCAGCAACGGAAGTAAAATCAACAATAAAGCAACAAATGTTCATCCCCCTGAGTGTTACGTATCAAAGCGACGACACCGACTGGAACCACTGAAGGTAAATATTCTTCGCTCTGGATTACCTGCACGTTACTAACATGGTGTAACATTCAAACGGAAGGCGTGAGATATCGGACAATATAATAGGATGCATGATAAATAATATATTAGAATCAGGTCATACAAAATCACCACTTCGCAACTCTTTAACAATATTTAACATAATTAATTCATCCACACAATAACTCAGGATGCAACATGAAATGCAACTTGTTTTTATGCACATGCATGTGGTACCAATGGAGTAAAACTCCCAACTTAATAATCTGCCAATTAATAGGGGCATCAACAAGGCATAAGCCTTCAATTTTATATTTGTCAATCCATGCCAACTTACCGAGCATGATCTCCCAACTTGATATGCTATGTATGCGACGATAATATGAATGTAGTAACAACAACAACAATAATTCAACAACAACTCAACATTGGCCATAAGCCTACAACTTAATATTTGCCAATAATTAGAGGCATCTCAACAAAATTCATCATCACCTACCAAATTCTCAAATTATAACAAAGTATACAATACACCATATTAAGCAAAATATAGTACGACGTCCTGCGTAATTATTCAGGTAATTTGACTATATATTGCTAGTTACTTATTAATTATATTATCTCTCCTACTACTAACTTATTTTTACTAGAATTCATTAATCATATGGGGATATAATACCTTAAGATTCCTAATTATTATGTTGAGATTATTAAAATAAATTAATTAACTAATTGTCCTGCACATAAGCGAGTTAATAACAATGTGTTCCCCTCGACACAGTGGCCATGCCGCTCGACACCTTCCCCTCGTGCCTCTTTATCGACCGACACGTCTTCATATTCTTGCACAAATTTCATCCAGTCTGTGATGAACATTAACCCAGCCTTATAGTATTTTATTCGACCATTAATTTCCAACCAACCACACTGAATAACATAGCAACAGGAAACTATATCTCCTATTAACAAATTCATCAATCATACAGGACAGTCATGCATAAAGTTCCTAAATGACCAGAACGTAAAAATGGGTAACTTTCAAGAACAGGCTCAGAAAATCAATGCACAACAGTTATACCCACGATCAAACCCCTACACAATATTCATCATAAGCCCCATTATAAGGTCAGAACCCCACCCTTACCTTGGATTGAAGGTCGCTCGACAACTCTCCTATCGGAATCTTGCTTTGCTCTTCTCCTTATTCCTTTTATCCACACTTCTCACGACCAATTTCCAACTCCTTATCAAGTAACCATATTCTGTATTTAAATAGAACCACACAATATTATTATCCTTAATGGGCTTAACAACACACCCCCTATATATCTACTTCCAACCATTAAAAATAGGCACAACATAATTATTCTATTATTCTACTAATCGTAATATTATTACTATTATTAATTAACTAGTAATAATATAGAAACGTATACCGACAATTCACAACATCTCACAACTTCAACGAATAATTTCAAAAATAATTAACTAAATAATTAATTAAATAATGGGCGTTACAACTCTCCCCCACTTAGAATATTTTTGTCCTCGAAAATTTACCTTGTTCGAACAACTCAGGATAGGAGTCCCGCATGTTGCTTTCTGTTGTACCCCAAAATTTTCCCTCCCATTTCCTTAATATTTCCTCACCACAAGACCCTTGGAGCTCAAGATCAAGATAGGGTTTGCTCTGCTCAAGACTCCTCCTTGCACTGTTGACCCAAATTAGGGTTTGAGTTTGCACAAAGATGTTTTGACCTAAAAGGCCCAAAGTGACTTTCATGCTTCATGTTGGACTCACAAGTTTATCCATACCAAGTTTCAAGCCTTGATTCCAATCTTTGCCCAGTCAATTGGACAATTGACCTAGAAATCAACTGTATTGGGGAAAAAGTCAACTGTGGTCAATTGACAGTCAAACCTCATGATTTTTGACCCACATCAACATTATGAACTCATATGAACCATTTGGTCAAGTTTGGATCATAATTCCACAAGAAATTTGATCAGATCACCAAAAGGGCAAAATGGTCATTTTTAGGGTTTTGACTGCACAAAGGCAATTTTTGACTGTTTGACCTAGCCAATGGAAAACCAAGCTCACATATGGACTCAAGGACTCAATGACATGGTCTTGACATATTCAACAAGTTCAAAAGATCCCAAATGCACAAGATTGACAGATGAATTTTCCAGTCAACTGAGCCAAAATTGACTGTATACTGAAAAGTCAAACTTTGACTTTTTGGTCAAAATCAAGTTTCAAGATTCATTTTTCATCAAAACATGTCAAATTGTGAAACTTGTTCATCAAGAAATCAAAAATCACAAATTAGGGTTTAAAATGAAGAATTTTCATAACTTAGAAATTTTCTAAGTTATGAAAATTCCTAATTTTTTCTTAACTTTGTCCCATTTTTTCATCAAGATACATTTGGATTCAAACAAAACTCAAAACATGAAAGTTGTAGTCCATTGAAAAATCTACAACTTTTATTCACAAAGTTTCCTCAAAAGAAGCTTGTAGCTCAAGTTACAATTTTTGGAACAAGGGTGCAAAACATTCTTAACTTAGAAAAATTTTGACCTATTCTAGGCAGGATTTTTGCCTAACTTCATGGCCACTTTTCACATGCTTCCACTTGGAATCTCAACTTGCATTACAAAGATGGATTGTAGTACACATTCCAAGCTTTCCAAAATGTCAAAGAACTTCTCAAACACCCTTGTGGTTAGGGAGAATCGAATTTGTCAATATGGGCAAAAGTCACTTTGTTCATGAGTCATTTTCATGTTCATACACTTTGCAATTTTTCAAGTCAGCT